AGCTTTGTAAGAGTGTTTTAATACTTACTTTTTACAACCAAATGTAGGTACAGATGAGACTTGTGAAACTCAACAATTTACGCACTGAGTCTAACTTGTTCATTTGGAGGTTGCTATGATATATTAGTTCCTGTTCCATTTTTTATTAAAATGGGGCTGTTATTGCTTGTATTTCTCATGTAGTTTTTTCTTTTTCATAACAATGATTTGGATCTCACTAGGGATTTTAAATTCAAGTACATTTTTTAAATTGGTGGCAGACTTGCAATGCATGTTTCACAGCTGATTTCAACAGTTTGGAATAACCTGGGACATACTGAATTGAATTCCACATAAATTTAACCTTCTTGCATTTTTCTATACAGTGCTCATTACAAGGGCTGCTCTGAAAGTAATGCCTCCTATTTTGTTATGTTGGCCCATGACATCAGAGGCAGATGGTGGTTTTTCAGTAGAGGCTGAACTTTTCTACAAATATCCCATTACATGTTGCTGCATGACAGATGGCAGCTGACAGGCAGTCTGACAAAACGTCGTCTGACACAGGAGTGCTTACGAAGCAAAGGTGTATCACTGCATTCCTCCATGCTTAAAAAATGGCACCCACTGACATTCATCAACACTTGCTGAACATTTATTCAGACCAAACATTGGACATAAGCACAGTGAGGCACTGTTTCAGCAGTGGTTAAAACAATGTGAAAGACAAGCCATATTCCAAATGGCCATGTAGATTTTTACTAGTGTGGCCTGCAGGCTCCACAAGTGAAAATGCATAGCTAATGCTCATAACAATGCTGGAAAATAGTATTTTGTATTGAGAAATTACTCTACGAAGTAGTGTTGTTGTGTTCCTTTAATCTACTGTAGTATCCATGGAAGTAAATGGAAGGCATTACTTTCAGAACAACCTATGTACATATTATTAGTAAATAATCAAAAAAGAACTTTTTCAAATGACCACAGGAAGTATCTGAATCAGCTACCAAATTGTTAATGACATGAGAATGAATTTTGGAACCTACAACATAGTGTTAAAAGATTCCACAGTCATATTAGCATCCCTTGCTATAATTTGCCAGCCTATGTAAACTGCCATATTTCAACTTTGAAAGAGTCTTCTTTAATTCTTTTTGGTAAATATCCAATACAGTTATCTTGAAAATCTAAGGGCTTTGTTTATTTCAATCTTGTTCTCTAAATGTTTCTTCCTGATGCCAGACTGAGTTGCCCAGAAGGAAAGTTACTTACACAGCTTGCTGCAGGCAGGTGTTTCTGTAGAAGATAAAACAAAAGATGTTGAAAAAGAGCTGAGAAGGCAAACCGTGCTCCAAACATGTATGTTTTCAGGAAGCAACATTTGTTGACAATAGACACTGCCACCTTCTGTACTGACAATTAGAACTTTGTTTGAAAAAAAAAAAATCCCACATTAGACATAAAGTGCACTATACATACAAACCAAACAAGTACAAAACATCAGTCACTGCTGCTCTGTACAAAGGTGAGGCAGCAGAATTGAAGAACTGAATATAACCAGCATTTACATCCCTATGCAACATGTGAACGTGAGTTGTCAGCTCCCTCTATTGGATAGAGAGCTGTTAGCCATATGCCAGCATTTTTTGCTCCATTGCACTGCCAGACATCATATGTCTGTGCCATGCTTCATGTCAAAGCATGACCTGGTCAGCCTTCACAGATGCTCCTTGTGCCTATGTAACAGGCTATGAGCAATGCATCAGGCTGCTCAGCTCCTTATGAAACACCCCTAACTAAAAGACCTCAACAAAAACAGAGAGAGTTGCAAATATAAAAACAAAAGCAACCTTGGCAAAAACTAAGTAAACTTAGACAAGCTGCAAAGTACAAGTGTAGATGGAGTCTAGCTCCAGCCTAGGGCAGAAGGATTTCTGGCACAAGACTCCATTAATCTACTCAGAATTTCCAATGAAGATAAAAAATAGAATAAAATAAAATAAAATAAAAATAAATAAATAAATAAACAACCAAAAAAAAAAAAAAAACAGTATGAGGGAATTCATCTTGTACAAGGAACCAGTATTTGGAAACTGGAGAGTAATGTGAAAAGAAACTGAAAAGAAACACCCCACAAAAACTTAGAGGTTAGTGTTGGGGTGTGAAAGGGTAAAAGAGACAAGAAGAGAGCTCTCCTTCTGAAGAAAAAAAAGAAACTGCAAATATTGTGCTGGGAACAGTAAATGTACAGTAAACGGCACCACTATCTGCTGAAGATTAGGCTCTTCCTAGTTTCTTAAGAACGTGAGATTACTTTTGTCAGGATTCATGCATATCTGTTGTTACAGAACTGTGATGTATTTGGAACTACTTTCTGTGGCTTTCCTGTTTTCAGAACATTTCTGAGAACCAGCCAGCAGTGGTTTCAGCAGTGACGCTTGTGGTCAACCTGTATAGTTAAAATTACTCCGTCTTTCCTAGATGTGCGATATGCACCTATTCTTTGTTGCAGAACTGTGTGTGCTTCCACTGTGTGCTTTCACCGTTGCTAATAAAATGCAGAATTGCAGAGCATTTTGCATCCCCAGTTCAAAACTCCTGGCATACACAGCGTGTGACCCAGAGGGGCTGGTGGGCAAGCACTCAAATGTGAGAATCTGAGTCATTATTGCAAGACAGATGTTTATCCCCTTGCTTTTCTGTGGGGTGGGTTGACTGCCCCCACAACACTTTTGCATGGTTACATTCAGTTTTCAGAACCCACATGTTGGATGTTCGTGAATAAGCTGTTTTGTGGTATGGAATGCTAGTACTACTAGAGGTGAACATTTGTCTTTGTGCTGTTGCACAGAAAGACAAGGCACTGATCCACCCACGTGCATGGAGCCAAAAGCATGCCGGCCATTTATCATCTTAGAAAAGCAACCACTTTTCTGAAAGCAGGACAAGGTCTGATATTACATGTGTGGCCACATGTGAGTATGTGTGTATATAAAGCCCAAGTGTACATGTGTGTATATGTACTCCTGGACTCTAATCCTCATATAGCAACACACAGAGAACTCATGTAAGTACCAGCCAGGGTGTGGGTGTCCAACCTTTCAATTTGCTTAGGTCACACTGAGTGAAAAAGGATTGTCTTGGATCAAATATAAAATATGTAGGATAGTCAATGTAAACATTAGTTCACAAATGTACGTACTGCCAAAAAGTCATGACATGAATAAGGCATGATTGTGAAGCGAGGGATATTTTTCTCTGATAAGACAAGTTTTATAAATGTCTGCTAAAGAGATACAATCAAAGATCATGATTTTTTGGTTGGATATCTGGGTGTACCTCCATACATTCCACTTCAAAAATTTACTTATGTCCACTGAAAATAAAGTTGGAACTATACCAAATACAGATTTTTTTCAGCAATTGAGAAACCTGTTCTCAAATTCCCTTATCAAAACGGAAAGCAAAGCTGCGTATTTTTTGTTCACAATACCATGTATAGTCAGTATATCTAAATGCTTAATGGTAGGATGGAGTGGTTGAGCTGGCTGTGGCTTGCAATGAGGACCATGTTGGTGCTGGCTGAAGACAGCAAGGAGTTCTTTGGTCATGCTATATATATATCACCGATATCTCCTGGGATGGGTTGAATCCAGGCCAGGACATAGGCACATGCGTGAGCCTGGCTACATGGCTCCCATGCTGTGGCTTTGGGCCCCATGACAGGGCAGGCTCTTGGGGCAGTTAGATCTAGCAGCTGGAGGCCTGGCAATAATGCCCTTCAACCTTCTACACGACCATAAAGAGGAAGAGATGCTCTAAGTGAAGTGAAGGTGCTGCAGAAGATTGCATACACAACAGCTCAATCAGAATTAACTGCTGGACTGTGGCTTCCACGCTGCATCAGTTCTGTGAACATATGATGTGACCCTGGGCAGCTGGCTTGGATCAGACGGCCTACAGAGATGCCTTCCAACCTCAAGCATTCTGGCATTACTGCTCACCAGAAACTAAGATACAGTTAGTGTGTGGAAAATCTTTGTCTCTGGGAGATGAAATGCCAATATTACTGCAGTATGGGGCTTTGAAGAGTCTCTTGTAAGGATAGGAAGTAAGATATCCTTGCTGTCATTTAACTTAAAAATGTAAAAGATACTAGTTACTATCTGTAGCATCCTTTGAGACCTCCCAGATGAAAAGTATGAACAACAGCATATTATTCTTTGCTCTCTTATATCATTTGCCCATTTGTTCCAGTTTTTCCCAATTTCTGTGTTCCTGGCCTGAGCCAGTTCTCACCAGCATCTTTTAACATCTTGCCATGACCTTCAGTGAGAATAGGATGAAGCTTCCATAAACCATATAGGCAAGTTTCACTACACTGGGACAGATCACCAGTACACATTTGCAAGGCCTGTTTGTTCCTTTACCTACATACTATCCACAAGATACCTTTCCTTTGCTCGGTTCAGTGGTGCGGCTGCTGATCAATAACCAAGGCCAGTATGCTGATGTGCTGGAGTTATTTATTCATATGTGAATATGAATATACGAATGACCCCAAAATCCGCAGTATTAATATGATAACAAAAGAACTGCAGAAACTCTGTAGATTGTCACTTCCAAGTAATCGGAAAGAAAGAAACTCAAGAATGCTCAGAAGACAATGGGAATACAGCAAGCCAACCACAGGCTTATTCAGAAACACAGAAGGTAAGTCTGTTATTAGAAGTCTGTTGAAATCCACCACAAAATCTAAAATCTCTGTTTAGCTGTTAGACAGACACGGTATTAGAGAAGTATAATTACACCCATTATAATGAATAGTTACTCTTTTTTCGTGCTATCTATGGAAGATAAATTGGAAAAATGTTTGCTGGCTTTTTATTTTCATTCCGAGAATGAATCTAGTTAAAGAAATTTTCCGTAATAGTTAAAGTATTTGGTTTTTTAAAATGTAAAAATGAAGTACTTGAACATTTAAACTCGAACATAGAACTTTTTTTACTAATTTTTCTCATTCAACAGATGTCATATTCACTATCAGTCAAAAACAGAATTTTTCTGTGAAAACACATTCAAAAATTTTGTCCTGTCACAGCCACAATGAAAAAGGTGACTTACCACTTTCCAGTCACACTAAAAGTCAGGGTGAAATCACAAACTGAGTTATCTAAGAGGGAATTTCCTACTGACGATGAACAAATATTATCTGTACAAAAGGGAATACTGCTGCCTTTTAAAGTCAGAAAGCTGTGATTTGTAAAGGTGTAATGCCAGGAAGCACGCCAAGGCACGCCAGTTGGCACACCAAGGCAGCACCCTGTTCTGAAGCACAGCTCTCTATTTACTGGGGCTGTCTTGCCTGTCTCATGCCTCTCCATTAAGAGAAATGGTTTTTTTAATCCAGTCAATGTATTTTTCAGTCAGTCGCGTGTAAACTCCAGGCTTGTCTCCCATTCCACATTTTTCTCCGAAGGAAACAATCCCGCTGTATTTTCTGCCACAGATGAGTGGCCCACCTGAGTCTCCCTAAAACAAAACAGAAAGAAAGATCAGCGTGGTTTTCTCTCTCCAGAAAAACATGCAGTGCCATGTGCACCTTGTGTAAGCATGTTTAATTTTGTATTGTTAGATACGGGCATCTGGAAAAGATCAGATAATTCAGACTCTGAAAGTTCTTCTTTCTGTCCGTTAGTTATAAACAACACCTGAGGAGAGCAGCTTATCTGAAGAAACGCATCTGCAGTGAACTGAGGTAATTCCCCAGCACTGTTGTTCTTAGTGAAAGGTAATTAAAAGCACATCCCTTTCTCTTTTTAATTGCTTCTTACCTTGCAAGCATCTCTCTTTGAAAACATCATTTTCTCTCCAGCACACAACATGTTCCTGGTTATCTTCAAGACTTTTTGCTTTTTATTATATTTTCTCTCACAGTCTTTTCTATCAACAATTTTAACAGTTGCTTCCCGAAGACATTTTGGCAGCTTTCCTGGAGACGTTTCTCCCCATCCGGCCACTGTGCACCTTGAGCCAGGTTTGATATCTTCACCAGTGTCAGGAAGGGACAAACATTTCACATATTTATTCAGATTTGCCATATGATCCAGCTGAAAAAAAAATAAATAAATAAACATCTTTTTCATGCAGAAAGGATGGGAAGTATAATCTTCAATTCAGTTAGCTACATGGTCTCTTTTTACCACTACTTTTCTTTCTAATAAAACGCTTTTCAGTATTTAGGAACTGATTCTGAACTTAATCACACTTCTGTAAATCCAGAAGTACTTTTCTGATTGTTCCAGATCAATGACAGCACTATGAATTCAAGTCCAGATTTTCCACCAATTACTGTAGAAAATTAAAAACCTGTGCAGGAGTCAGGTTGTTGGATGTATATCCATTCAATAACCCAGCTTGCACTAAACTACTGTGTTGAAATCAGACTTAAGTGACAAACAGAGAAGTCCCAAAGCACTTGGGAGTCAATATGCTCAGCACCACAGATGTAAAGAAAAATTGTAAACAACTAGACATGACAGCAGAGGTCTCAGCTGAGGGAAAAATAGGTTTTGAACTCTTCAGACTGCCAGATTTAAATCTGAGAGAGTAAGGGCTTAAATGATCCAAACTATATACTATATTTTATTGGCCTTTATCTGACAGATTCATCCTTTGGCAGAGGTCATTTTTTGGACTGTAAATGAAAATATAGCAAACAATAACACACATACTCAATGCAGTGTAAGGACTTGCAGTTACTGAACTGAGCATTCTTTCTATTTTACACATGGTCACTGCACTGCAAATTAACTTCACAAATGCTTAAATGTTTTACTGAATGTCAGTTACAAGATTTTAGCTTTATACTTCTTTTAAAAGGTACTGTAATAAATTATGTGTTTAATTAAAAAACCCTACGGATTATTAACTCTGTTGCTGTTGAGAACTTCTGAGCAAAGAAGGTTTACCCCAAGTCACTAAGCACTCCATCAGAACAGAACTGTAGCGACAGGAGGTGAACCCTGCTTCTAACATTATTCCTGTTGCTGAGTCACAGTCAGACAAAGGATTTTAAGGTATCTTTGTCATTCTGGAACAGAGCTGTAGCTGTTAGCTCTAGAAATAACACTTTGTAGTGATCCATTTTAGTATAGTGTCCATTCTCCTCAAATAACCCGCTATTGCTTATAAACAGAGACATAACAGTAAAGCACAGTTTGAATAAATGAATAAAAATCCATCCACGATTTCTTAGGCGTTGTACAAAAGTCATGAAGTTTCTAAAGATACAGACAAAATGATGTACAACTCTCATCTTTCCCGAGGGCTTTAGGCTGGCACTGAGACTGTTGTACAGGGCAGCAGTCCTCCATCGCCAGTTCTCCAGACCACCTGCAGATTTTCTGCACAGACACAAGCCTCCCTCTATTCAAAACACCCATGCCCACCCCATGTGACCAGGCTGAGCCAAGAGCTGGTATGCAGGAAATTTGTACATCTCTGCCTCATAAGGGCACACAGGATGATGGTTGTACAATCTAGGATATCTTTCCATTCCACAGTATCATGAGCCCCCTTCATTATGAGATTCTTCATTATGAGCTCTGTGTGCCTAGAACTATTCTAGCTCTTTACTCATAATTCTGCCTCATGTGGTCACCCTTAATAATTAAGAACGGGTTTCATGCCCATTTTGTAATCTGTGTTGTGCTTTCAGAAGGGTTGCAGCAGTGAGTGGTTAAGTGTGTCTTTACAACAGAATGGGCTTGAAATGTCAGAGTTACAAGATTCAGAGATCTTGTAACTGCATCTAGATCTGTACAACCAAAGCAGAGTTTTCAGTGATGTTGTTAAGCAAACAAAACAATGTACATTTCAATATCACGGAACAGCCAAAACAACCATTAACAATATTCCTTTTGTAATACTACAGTTGTATTATTAACATTGTATTATCAACAGTATATCATTGTATATATTAATATCATTGTATTATCAACAGTACCTTGAGGAGCATTATATCATTTTCCTTTGAAGATCTGTTAAACAGGGGATGAGAAAAGAAGTGCACGATCTTAAATCTCTGTTGTTCTTTTTCAGCTTTGAATGCCTGATGGGCTCCAAGAACAACCCTAATATCCGATCTTTGCTTCCTATAATTTAAGGAAGAGCAGGAATAAGTCATTACTAGGACAAGAGTGACATTTCTCAGCATAAACAGAACTTGTGCAACACAAAATTAGCAATTTAATTTTACAACCTGATTAAAAATAGGAAGGATAAAGTTCATTGTGACACCTTAACATGAGCTTGTGTTTTCCTCCACAAACATTTCTTCATTCCTTGTACTAACATTTCTTAGCTGTAAATGTTATTTGCTAAAATAACTGTAAGATAACTGACTTTAAGGAGACCCCATGGCTTAGAATTGTTACAAAAAAGCCTACTTATTTTTTAGGGAGGACCACATGCACAAGGATTAGTGGTACTCATGCCTTTCAAATACATTTTAATGGATACCTGTGGTCATATGATCTAATCCTGCAAAGGACAGAAACATGCCTGGTTATAGGATAAAGGCTATCTTAATGACATCAGTGAAAACCCAGAGAGAGTTTCATGTCCAGTTCTTGCCAATAGATATTAGAAGTTCAGCAACTCAGATCTCCCTCTCCCCCAAGCTCTCTGAATATCATCAGAAACATTTATTCAAATATGTCTTTCTTGGTTTTGCTCTTCTCAATCTAGTGCAACCCAGTAAGAGGACGCTGTCAGAAGACACACTGCTGGTTTTCTTAATCTTCAGAAACTCACTATACACAGGAAAACTAATTTGAGATAGAATTGAGACTTTATCAATCCAAGAAGAGTTATTTTCTTCTTTCCAGTTGCATGCCTTGTTGAAATATTCATTTATTTGCATATGAATTGTTCTTTGTGGAAATAGCTGCAGAGACCATACCGGAGCCTGAAAAAAAAAATTTTTTTTTTCACTACTTACACAGTGGAAATTACTTTACAATCCCAAAGCTCCTTTCCTAGGACTCTTTCAAGTACATTCCACTGAAATGTATCTTGCTCCAGTAGTGGAGCAACAGTGCAGAGAGGCCAAGCAATCTGCTGCTGCATATATAGACAAATCACAGATTAGTCATAGAACGGCTTGGGTTGGAATAAACCTCAAAGAACATCTAGTTTCAATCTGTCATTTCAATCCTGTCATTGGCAGGTTTGCCAACCTGCAGATCAAGCATCAGCTCAGGTTGCCCAGGGTCCCATCCAGCCTGGCACCATTGTGCACCTCAGGAAGAGACCAAACAGATGTTTCAATTCCCCACAATTACACAGACTCAGCCAACTCTAAGTTGGTTCAAAAAATGTCTTTGTTACAAAACCAAATCAGTGATTAGACCCATCCACTCAGCAAGACCAGAGACAGCCAGCGCCCTTTCCTATGAGTAGCTCCAAATTTAAATTTTTACAACTGTAACTGACTGGATATCTTGAACCCTGAAGGGTCAAAGACTCCCACAAGAATATAACTTAACTCCAAAGAGGGAGGTCAGGATTTTGTTTTGTAAATGTGTAAAACAGCACATGCTATGCTTGAATATTTCTACCTTTTTTTTTTTTTTTAAAAAAAAAAAAAAAAAAAAAAAAGCAACCAAACATGACTTAAGTGAAGAACTGTGGAAGTTTATTTTCTAAGGAACCCCTGTCCCCTATTTCAGATTAATGATGGCCAAGCTGCCCATGCTGTGCTTGAGGAGGTCAGATGTCCACAAGTTTGTTATGATTGTCTTGCTTTCCATTACTTAAAATACAGAAAAAAAAAATATCAGGGGAGCAAAATATGATTTAGATAACGTTTTAGCCAAAACAGGAGACTTTTACTTCCTAACGCGAACACTAGATGTCCCTCACTCTGAGCCAGCCCTCCAACACGTGTGCCAGTCTCAGCATATCCAGCTTGGGAAGAGGTGCTCGAATCCACATTTGGATCACCAAAAGGATGTAGCTCCTTGTCATAGTTGCTGCCCCGGCATTTTTTGCAAGCATCTGAGTTTTTATGGGCCTAAGAAAGGACACTTAAACTGAAAGGGAATGGGGTTTCCATCTAATTCAGCTTCAGCTCATGGTGTTCTGAAACCTAGTTCCATGCACACAGCTTTGTTTAAGCACTGTGCAGTATGTCCCCTTCTCTAAGACACTGCTGTTTCAAATGCACAGATAATGAGTTTGCTCTTTTAACAGCACAGTCAGTATCTTCCAGCACTGTCAGGATCTGACCAATGCAGATAACAGAACACTAAGCAGATCAAAGCAACAAACCAACTCAAAGCAGAATAAAAGTTCCTAAGTATGCTTGGTGAAAGAACTCCAGCTTTTACCAACCCTTAAAAAAATTAGTATCTACCTTTCTTCACTTATAGGCTTGAATATCATGGCGCACCTCAGTGAAGAGCTATGAACACCACAGTATAAGGTACTTACTCACAATGTGCTGCTGTCAAAACCCACTTCTTTCTCACAAGAACTCCTCCACACACAGTTGTATTCTTTATCTGGATGGCAGCCATGAAGGGTCGGGAATGGGCACGCACGCAGTGTCCTCCAGTAATGTCACTGCAGCCATCTGAAAGGCAATAGAACAGAAGTTATGTTCCTCACCTGTTAGCCAGAGGAAGTATGAATTACGATATTTTTACTCTTAGAGCACTTCTTACATCTCAGGGGTAGGATAACAGCAATTACAGAGAGAAAAAGAGCTAAGAGGTGGCTGGTCATTGCTTCTGTTACTTACTGATGCAAAATAAGAGAACACCTTTCTATTTAAATGTTTCCTACAGGATATAGTGGTTAAGAGGTTTGATGAGAAACTCCTCCTCTTGAAGTTTCCCTTCCTCCATAGTATTATATTAACTGCAGCTCTGCTCTGCTTCTTTAGGCTCTTTCTTCTTTAAAACCTGCCTGTCCCTGAGTCCATGGCATTCATCAGTTCATATCTCACAGGAACTTCAGCAGACCTGCACACTGGTCTTACGCTAGAAAACAAGTGCTAAGAAAGCTACATGTGATGAATGCATAATACAACCTACTACATCAGAGAATTCAACAACTCTTCAAAGAAGCGCAAATGAATGAATGAGACAAGAAATAGAAGAGTCACTTGAAAAGGCTTCACTGAGAACTGGCAGAAATCTGGAGCTGGTAGCCTAGGAACACCTAATACCTAATACCAACTATACATACTAAGGGCAATGCAGTTTTTTTCTTAGCAGTTATTTTTGTGGGAGCAGGGTTCAGATGTACAAGCTCCTACAGTGAGCGGGACTCAAATGCAAATAAGATTCTTTATCAGTAGTCACCAAATAAAAGATTAAAAGACACAGTGGTGAGATAGACTTTTCTACTGCTCACCCCTGTGTCTGTACCCACACTTTGCATATCTTGTTGGTAAACCACTACAAGAAACAGCACATCACCACATTAAAAAAACTGCTATCGGCTTAAGCACCATTAGAAAGAATCAGAAATGTAACCAACCCAACTTATTTAGCTGTTACTTAAGAGAAAATAGCAGCTCTGCAGATTGTTGAATGAGATTAGAATTGAGACACTTATAGCACAGAATCTTACTATAAAATTTGAAAGCATTACACAATGCAATGCTATGAAACACGTTTTTGTGGTTTTTTTTCAAAAAACTCTTCCCAAGTTCATTTAAGTGAAAAAAATTACTTTATCTTACAAAAGGGTCAGCTCTAGGTACCCCAGAATCACTCCCCATTCTCAATATAATCTGGAGATTATTCACACACTGGAGGTTACCTCTGCAAATAATTTCTTTTGCCAGCGGGGTCCTTAAGACATGATGACTTACAAGTTTTTATGGCTTTGTCCTGACACTAAGTGACTGATAGCTTCATACTGTGATCAAGCAGAAGACTCGTATATTTCTGCAGCATAATACCTGATGTATTCTGCCATGTACATACAATTTTGTAAATGTTACATTGGTTGAGGTGTCCCTAAATTAACTAGTTCAACCATGCTGCTAAATTATTCTGTGATATTGCACAGCAAATAGACAAAAATAAGCCTTCATTTTTGCACACAGCTGAGGCAGAAAAGACAATGGAAGCAGAGGGGAAAGTGAAATAGGCATTTAGAGCAGAAAAGGGAATTAAGGGCAAGAAATAATGTCAGGCTGAATAAAATTGAAAATGGGTAGCACAATGAGTATTAAGATCGGTAAATAATGTGTGGCTAGACACTACAAAGCAAATGTCAGATTTCCTAGACTGTGCTAACTTCCATTTCCGTGATCTCAGAGTCCAGCTGCCACAGAGAATTCTAGGCAGTTCAGAAGAATCAGATCATCCCATTCAAGGAAAGATAAAAAACCCCAACTTCTTCCAGTTAGCTTAATCATATCTCACTCTTCAACTCTTATTACCATACACAGAACCCCATCTTGCCAAGACCCAATGCCTAGAGCAGGAGTGACCACACCAATTGGCTAAGAATAACAGTAGCCCTTACTACCCTCTGTCAGAATTTACTGCATAATTAACAAGTTTGCAGGGGGAGCCAGCAGTACATGTTGGCTACTTCGTGCAGTGCTTTGTGCTGTGGAGGACTGATCAGCTAGAGCTTGGGTACAGAACAAAGAGTTTGGGTGTTGCCCTCTTCAGGTATGAGTGAAAACCAAGAAAAAAACTCTGGATATATGCCCAGTGGAAGGATGGAGCTGTTTAGAGTGACACTCACGCTGACATCCTCCAGAAATACAAAGAGGGGCAGGAAAAAGTTTAGATCCCTTGATTTTCTTTCCACACAAAAGCAATCCCAGAAAAACAAAGGAAGCTCTATTTCTGAGGCTGGCTGGTTTTGAAGCAAAAAGGAAGTCTCCCAATTTCTAGGGAAGTTCTTTAATCAAAGAGCCATTATATTAAAAAGTGTTGTTATCTGTGCTTCAAGAAGAGCTTAAGTGTGGTCCATGTGAATTGAAATTAGATATTCTTCTGGGTATATCTGATCCATATCCACGTCTATCACTTCTAAGTATTTGCCAATCTGTACTAGGTACAAGAGAAATGATCTTGAACCACATCATGGCCCAAGGAGACTTTCTGCATGCCAGTTCCCACTCCAGAATTTCCCCTGACCAATTTTTAGAGCGTGGTTGAGGGGGGTTGAGGAGCTCCCGAGGAACATCCCACCAAACTAAGCCTGGAAGAGCTGCAGGCAGGATGGGCAGGCGAGACAGGACTGGGTGGGAATGCTGCAGAGCTGCCATCTCCACCTTCTTTGCACTGTGATACTGCTGCCTCTATCACAGTCCTAAGATTGTCCCAGCCTATGCTCTTTACCTTTCCCAGCAAGTCTCCAAAAATTTGTCAGAATTTGGCCAAAGATGTGGCCAGTAACACAGTGATACACTGGGGTTGGCTGGGTCTGGAGCAGCACAGGGAGAGTCAGAGAAGACACTGTGCTCCTGGTGGCTGCCTGCTCTGCACTGCTCTCCTGTCCTCCCTTCCCTTCTATGTCTCCTCAGCTCAGGCAACTGCAGTTCTGTAAGGTGTAGAGCTGAGGTCTAAATTGGCATCCTGCAATGGTCTAAAATTGTACTTATGTTCATCCAAAGCAGCACAAAAAGCAGCATGAATGAAAACTGAGCATAGTTACTGGGGAAATTCAGTATGAGATAAGAGTCAGAGAAGTGTTTGACACATTCAGAATAGAGCAACCCATTGACCCATGCTTAATGCCCATGGGAAACTTCCTCAGAGTCAAAGGCTTTATCTTGTACTGCGGTTTCTGCTGAGGGAGTGACTGTATCTTGTGGGCAAGGTGGAGGAAAGAGCAGAACACTTTTTTGTTACATTTGTCAGACCTCTTGATACCCAGCTGCTTATGCTGCAGAGGAGCTAATAAAAAAATTGATGCACTCTATGGAGAAGGCACTTTTGTTCTGAGGTTTCCTCCTTTATACACAGAATACCAATATAATCTAAACTTGACCATAAACTAACTTACTGCCAAAGCCAAAGAAGCCCAGCCAACTTTCAATTTTTCAGCCTCATTTAATGAGTTAAAACCAGAAGAGTAGTATTTGAGTATGAAACTACTAAAGTGATGATCTGCGTGTCAATCTGACCTTTAATAACTATACAGCCAAACCTGGGAGTAAGAGCTTGTGAAGAAAGCAGTCAGTTGTTATCAAACAGAAGTCTAGATAGCATATTCTTAACTCTAACCATCAATATAAACGGCGTCTCTCAGGATTAGAGATGTAGAATTTTTTTCAAGGCACTGTTGTGCAAATAGCTAAGAAGTTACAGAAAAATAACTTCAGAAATATCTAAGAGTTTGTTTATAGATTGAAAGAGATATGAACCGATTACAGAAGATTTGTTTTCGGATAGTAGGCATAGAGTAGCCTGGAAATATCTGGGAACATTCGGTATTCTGTGTTTCCTAAATAGTTTTTCTTGAAAATAGATCAGGTAAACATAAGATGATACTTTTCAAACCTCTTCTTTTCTAGACATCACACCTCATATAGGAATATATAAGGTTGAATCACTGTAGTCGTATGAGTTCAAGCAGATCTCACTTGTAGAACACATGGTAAGACTTCCTATTAAAACGCTGTCAGCCCTTGACATCTATTTACAAACGATAAGTGAAACAAGAGTATCTGTGTCACTTGATAATACTGTGTGCAGGACAGTACTGAAAAAAGGATGTTAACAGTGCTGATAGTTATTGGGGATACATGTGCAGGTAGTTAGGAGAAAACTGAAAGGAAACTAAAAGCTTGGTATGGTTTGCAATCATGGATCTATTGCCATGTCACATAGGTAATCATGACTCCAATTTGCAATCTCAAAGAGCTCTGCAATCTCTAAAAAAGGCTCCACTTCTACCTTCTTCACAGAAATCACCAACAACTACCCTCTGCACAGATGGGAGGACAATGGTAAATATTTGTCAGTTGTTTGGTCATATATGGGTAAAAAACACATCAAGCTGAGCCAACTGAGCTTGAGGATGTGACACAGCCAGCACGCAAAATCTTCCTGCAGACTAATAAGGCTAAAGTCACCCAGAAACCTATCAGGCTGTGTAACAGTGGATCTTTGATGAATACAGTCAGTTAACAGAATATCTGAAATTCCAGTTTAATACTGATGGAAGGAAGATATTCTATAAGTGGCTATATATTTGGAAAAGAAGGATTTGAGGAACTGTGCCTTTACAAGCCTCCAATAACATTTATTTAGTTTACAGAACTCAGTTTGGGTGCATGAAACTAGGCATTCTGTGACATCAGAGAGCATGGGTTCATGAAAGGCATGCCATGCTTGACCAACCTCATCTCCTTCTACGACTGGGTGACCAGACTGGTAGACGAGGGACAGACTGTTGTCTACCCAGACTTCAGCAAAGCCTTTGACATGGTTTCTCACAGGATTCTCCTGGGGAAACTGGCTGCCCGTGGCCTGCACAGGTATAGCCTGCCTTGGGTGAGAAAGTGGCCAGAGGGCCGTGCCCAGAGGGTAGTTAGTGGTGAATGGAGGTAAGTCCAGCTGGCGACCTGTTACAAGTGGTGTCCCTCAGGGGTCGGTACTGGGGCCCATCTTGTTTAATATCTTTATTGATGACCTAGAAGAGGAGATTGAGTGTACCCTCAGTAAATTTGCAGATGACAGCAAGCTGGGAGGTGGTGTGGATCTGCGTGAGGGTAGGGAGGCCCTTCAGAGGGATCTGGATAAGCTGGGTCGCTGGGCTGAGGTGAATGGGATGAGGTTCAACAAGGCCAAGTGCCGCGTCCTGCACTTTGGTCCACAACAACCCCATGCAGCGTTATAGGCTTGGGGATGAGTGGCTGGATGAGTGTGAAGAGGAAAGGGACCTGGGGGTGTTGGTTGATGATCAGCTGAACATGAGCCGACAGTGTGCCCAGGTGGCCAAGAAGGTCAACGGCATCCTGGCCTGCATTAGAAATGATGTGGCCAGCAGGAGCAGGGAGGTGATCATCCCCCTCTACTCAGAACTGGTGAGGCCGCACTTAGAGTATTGTGTTCAGTTTTGGGCCCCTCACTGCATGAAACACATTGAGTCCCTGGAACGTGTCCAGAGAAGGGCAATGAAACTGGTGAGGGGTCTGGAGCACAAGTCTTATGAGGAGCGGCTGAGGGAGCTGGGATTGTTCAGTCTGGAGAAGAGGAGGCTCAGAGGTGACCTTATTGCTCTCTACTTCCTGAAGGGAGGTTGTGATGAGGAGGGTTTTGGCTTCTTCTCCCAGACAACAAACAGGACCCAAGGAAATGGCCCCAAGTTGTACCAGAGGAGGTTTAGATTAGACATAAGGAAGAACTTTTTCTCTCAGAGGGTGGTCAGGCACTGGAATGGCTGCCCAGGGAGGTGGTGGAGTCGCCATCCCTGGCAGTGTTCAAGAGGCGTCTGGATGAGGAGCTGTGAGATATGATTTAGTGGCTTGTGATAGCAATGGTGATGGGAGGATGGTTGGACTAAGTGATCGTTCAGGTTGTTTCCACCCTTGTGATTCTGATTCTGTGATTTGAGTCATGTGTTTTCTTGTCACCTGCATAGGGCTTGGAGAAATGACATGACATCTATAGGAGTAGCATGGCCTTATGTGCCAGCAGCTAAAGGTTCAGTTAGACATAAGACTGCTTAAAACACTTCAAATGGCATTAAACACTTTGCTGTAGACCACTAAACCACACTGCACAGAAGCTCACCCAGTCTAAAGCTCGCAATAAAAGATCAGATGCTGAAAGAAGAAAATATCAGATTCCTTGGCCATGAGGCATTCCTGAATAGTATAGATAACTTTCTAATGGGAAATGGGCTGGGATTTCTCTCTCCTCATTTCAGAGATTGGAATCAGATTCACAAAAAAGGCATGTGCAAGTGTCTCACTCAGACGCCTACCTGTGAGAAAAGCACATTTTCTCCTATTTCAGCCAGTGTCCAACTAATGAAGTTAGCAGAGCTTCCAGACTAATTAAGTTCAAGTAAACAGATTCCTAGCAACTGATCTGCTGAACATCTCTGTAGGATCCCTTGAATATGTTGACCAGGTAGACTTCAGCAATTAGCATTTATGATTAAACTGCAGACACTAAGGCATGTGAGATGGGACAGCATGGTATGGTCTCCCTTTGGTTACACAAGGTCTTTATCCTCTGGGTATTCAAGCTTAGGCACATTGCCCTGAGGTGTCTAAAATGGAACTAAAGATCTTCAAGTGAGCTACAGAATCAAACTTACACTTATGTAAGATGAGTACCACTGTGTAAGCAGACAGGTAGTGACTTGCAAGATTTCACTTCAGCACTGATACTAGCTCTCTGCTAATGCTACAGAGACAACACGAAGAGGGAGATACTGTCTTCACACCACAACGGATGACATGATTTCTCATTCACACTTCTGCTGTGAGCTATATATTCAGGAAGGTCTTAATGTTTTTTTCACAGTTACAGATGTCAAATGTCCTTAAGAGGAAAAATAAAACCCACATCCTTTTTGTTTAGGTATATATCACAGAGTGAATAGGGGAGGACTCCAGGCAGACACCATGGGTGTTTTTCTCACTCTGTCCACCTCTGCTGCCATCGTTCTCCTGATAATCCCTGGAGGTAAGTGCACAGTTTGATCCTTTTGAAGGTAAACACTGACATACAGAGTTCCATTTAAGTAGAATATATTAGCATAAAGTAGCTGCAATTACTATTGGAGTTAAAATTATGATGTCTTTCTATCTTTCTTATTGTCTTTGATCTTTCCATACAAACCAAATAATTTCTGAATGGATAATAGTAATTAAAACTGCACAGAGGACAAACCGTTTGGAAGAGTTCAGAGAAATTAATATAGCCATTTTCGATCAGTCACTCTACAGGCATATACATAGATGATTTCTTGATTTTCTGTTCTCTTGAAAAGCATGTTCATGTAACGTAACTTACCCTTTAGAGCCCAGTTGCCAAGGGTTTGCACAAGACAGACACTGCACAACATGTATCTAGTGGCAAGGCTAGGTTTCTTACAATGAAAGCTGAAAAATTAAACATATCAGAGAACTTCAGGACAATAAACCTGTGCAAGATCAATGACACTTAGGTTGTTCTTTTTTTCCTCAACATTCATGCCACTAACCTTATTTTAATGCCACTGAAAGACACATAAGTAGTGCTGCTGAGCACTTTTTAAAGCCTGTCCTGAAGACCTGCATAGCAACATATACATTCCTGCATGTCTGTATATTTCATAATTATGTTAAATGCACTTTTCTAAGAGTTCACAGTGCTTTGCAGCTTAGCTGTGTGTATTATGGCCTACTTTTATTTGTAGATTTGTGCGTGGATATCATCGGAGGACATGAAGTAGCACCACACTCGAGACCATTTATGGCCATGCTCAAAGGAGAAGATTTTTGTGGAGGAGCTTTGATCAAGCCAAACTGGGTGTTAACAGCTGCTCATTGCAATCTGTAAGTTGCTTCTCTAATTTGTAGGTTAGTGAGTACCCAGTTTCCCTCTTCAAGAAGGAAAGTCCATGTCTCTGCTAGTCTAGTGCATTTAGCATTATCACGGTCAAGTTTTTAAACTTACAGTGACAACCATGTTTTGGTGAGTAAAAAATAATATAAGAAAGTACACTGATGTTCAGTGTTTCTGATATTTTACAATACACTTGTCATAGGAAAGCACAGAATAACAATGCTGAAATTGTGAATTTGGGGAAAGATCTATGCCTGTTCTCTCAAACAGTGCAATTGGCCAGAGGACTGGCCAGTCCAGATAGCTGCTTATAAAACAGAAACAAGTTCTTGTAATTTTATTCTATAAAAGACAGAGTTCATTACAGAAAGAGGCAGCACATAATTATAAAGGAGCAAAAAATCCTGCAGATGACAGGAGACATTTAGAGATCTGCTTTACAAATTCTGTTAGCTTCTTCCTGTCTGACTCAAGACATGGATGGCTGTTTGGCCCTGCACGCTCCCCCTGCCAGGTGAGATGTGAGGTTTACATCTCACGACCCACCCACTGCCTTTGCCAGAGGGACTGGAGCTGCTGCTGAGCCAGACCTCACACAGGCTCTGTCAACAGCCTGCTCAGGGCCAGTGAATCACTGGACTTGTAACCATTTATCCTGCTACCAGCCAAGCAGAGGGATAACTGGAATCTACGACAAAGAAAGCACAAGGTCCAAAAGCTGTGGAATCAACTTATAGTGAAGAGTGATCCTGGATGAGATCTCATTTAAAAAAAATACATTACATAATTAATTTAAAATTGCTCAGGCAGCACTCACACAGCTCTTCATAGCTGAAGGAACAGCAGAATCACTTCCTCAGGGTTTTGATTGCTACAGTAAGAGGCAACTGAGGACCAGCCAGCACAGCTACTCTGACAAGCTTCGCCATCCAGCTGCGGCAAACATCAAGCTCCCAAGAGAAACAGCAGGGGCAGCTTCTGAGTCAAGGACCCAAACCCTGTTGGTCGCTGGTGCAACTAGAATAGCATCAATTGTGATTCACTGACACAATTTTTCTAAACTACTTGTGGAAACAGACTAATCTTCTACATTCTTCTAAATTACTGTTGCTTTACAGGCCTGAAAAAAGAGACTTACAGCACCACCACAGCAAGGAATTATGGACTTGCAGCAGGTGAATCCCACTAACCATGTTATCTTTCTTCTCAGGGAAGGAGGCAGAGTTATTCTTGGAGCCCATTCACAGACAAAAAGGGAAAAAGAAAAACAGGTTATTGAGATTGCAAAAGAAATTCGCTACCCAGGCTACTCTGACAGAAAAAAAGAACATGACATTATGCTGCTGAAGGTATAGATTTACTTACACACTACTGAAGGAATACACATCTCCTGTGATGCACTAGATTTTTCACTCTTGTGAGGAAGAGAGATGGGAGTTTCTGAGAACATTGTTTCTTGGGTGATACAGACTGGTCTGCAAATCCAGCCGACTGAGAGATTGGGGATACACTGCAGACCAAGACTCAACAATTCCTGAAATATATGCTAGTACTAGCAGTAGAAAAACTGTAGTTTGGCCAAGCTTTTCTGGCTTTTCAACAAAATACTAAATATTCATATACATATGAATATGAATTATTTTTACATATTTCAGATGTAAAAATAACTGGGATAAAAACCATAATATTCTAACTGAAAGATAGTTCCATTAAGAATTTATAACTTCTCTGGTTCTCATTTTTGCCAGCGTCAGTTACTGCTGCTTTTTTGTCCTAGGAAAAAAAGCTTAGATTGCCTATGTATAAATATCTCCCAATGCTTGTGGGTGCAGCAGAAGAAAAACAGGGTCTTTTTGGAGCAAATATTTCAGCAGTTGAATGGATTTTCATTGGAAAGTGGATATTCATTTTCCTTATTCCTACATTATCACACTGATTACATAAATTCCATCACAAACAGAAATCTCAAAAAAGGTTTGCAGTAATCCCTCATTTCCACAGGTGGAAAAGATCCAGTGATTAACATGCAGAGATCTCTGTCATAAAAATTATCTTCCTTATCTTCTACAGCTTACGAAAAGAGCAAAAATTAATAACGCTGTGAAAGTAATTCCCCTGCCTACCTCTGGTAAAGATCTCAAACCAGGAACAACTTGTAGAGTAGCAGGATGGGGACAAACTGAGAATTACATGAAAAAATACCTGTCTGATACCCTGAAAGAAGTTAACGTCACTGTCATCAGTAGAACAATCTGCAATGACAAGAAACATTACAATTACAATCCTCGTATAACAAATAACATGATATGTGCAGGAGGATCCAAGAGAGAAAAAGCAGACTCATGTAAAGTAAGTATATTTATTGGCATTATCTGCTTTGACTACATTAAAAATACAACATAAAGTAGTAGTTTTTAGAAACATGGTATATTCCTATCTACAGTTCCAGAAGGAATAATACCACAAAAGAGTGAGTTTACTAGGGCTTCTTTTTCTAATCCTTAAAATAAAACACATCTGGATTTTCACTTTCAAAAATACTGGACATATCTTAGCACAGATCTAAGCAAATGGTCACACTGAAGTCTTTTTTTTATTATTATTTTTTGTTAATGATAAACTTAACTTCTGGAGGAGGGGGTGGTGGGGAGGTTAAAGGGAAAAAAAAGGCATAGTCTACATATTTATTTCTACCGTGCAACTGGAGTAAGTTTCAAGTAAGGGACAGATTTTGTAGCTTTTGTAAATATGAATGACAGTTTTTCTCTTCCTGTTCCAGGGGGATTCAGGTGGACCCTTAATATGCAATAATGTGATGAAAGGTGTCACATCTTTTGGGAAGTCACCATGTGGTTCTCGTAATGGTCCTGGTGTCTACACTCTCATCACAAACCAGTACCTTAAGTGGATAAGGAAAACCATAGGCGGAGATTTACAGACCGAGTATTGACCAAACTATTTCCCACTTTGTGATTGTGCAACAAAATCTAGCTTTGAAATATGCACTCTGCTAGAACAGCTTTTGTAGTTTACAAAGCTATGGAGTCCATTTGTGACTCAAGCTTTCAGCTTTCTTGCGTTGTGCATTCAAACTGAGCTTTACATAGATGAGTACTTCTGACCAACTGTCAAATCAAAGTGTAATTTCTACCTTTCATTTATTTGAAGCTTCTGCATGTCAACTCTGCATGTAATCTGCATTAGATAAGAGAAATGGCAATAAAATCTATTTCTCAAAGTTGTCAGTTTATGTGGTACACTGTGTCTGTTGCAGTATAAATATTCCATGCCAA